CTCTCACTCTCACTTTCTCTTTCTTTTTCTCTTTCTCTCTCTCTCTCTCTCTCACTCTCACTTTCTCTTTCTTTTGCTCTTTCTCTCTCGCTCTCTTTTTCTATCACTTCTGTCTGTCCCCTCTTTTATCTCTTCTCTCTTAACCACTATACCAATGTGCGACTGTATCGTAGTGTGTACTCACATAGAGCATGTCGACTCGACCGACAACGAATAAAACGCTATTTCGTGTATTGGCTGCCGATCGAGGAGACGATGATTCCGAGATCCCCGAGAGCGAGAGAAGAGATCAAACCCTCCTAAACTTCGAGATAGCATTTTAGTGTTACGGGCTACTTCACCGTCTCCACACACTTAACCGTTTTAGCACCGAAACTCTCTCCTTGATACACACGTTGTATATAAATCGCGTGGTTCGAAAAACGGGGATACGCCAATGATGGAGGAGAGATCCGTAATTTGTGGCCCGGAAATTCCATGTTTCTTCACGAGATTACTGTACTCCGACACTTCGGGATCTCTTCGATTACTTCGATGCACGAGTCGATGTTATTCTCCCTCTTCTTTGCTCTAGATATACTTCTTTCGTGGCTCTCATGCGCCTATCTTATTCTCACTCTCACTATCCCCTTCACTCTCTGCCTCTCTGTTTTATCCTCCCTCAGCGTGTGTCTAGTCGATAAGCATTAACGATGCTTTCTGCATATGTGAATTATCGTTTAAAGCAACTATGTGTGGCATCGGTGATCTCTGTGGTTTCACTACATCGCACCGCTTTCACGATAGCGTATCCTTCCATTACGTCCCAGAAGGTCCCGAATTTCACGATCCTTATATTAAACAGAGTTTTTTTTTGTCGTATATATTAAATGGATTTAAAATTGACATTTCCTTGAAATGGGAGAAGTTTCTTGTCTAATTCTTTAAAGTTCAAGAAATTGAAACTTTGACATTTTAAGGAAGGATTCGACGCTTCCCCGAAGACCTCATTATGTAGGACATGGACCAGAGGCACTCTGGGTATCAATAACGTTACTGTTAATGACTATAAAACGAGCCGAACTCTAGACTTTCACATCCGCACGTCTCATGGGACGTTCTGTTCTGGTTCGGGATTATAACGTGTTTAAGGAACAAGGAACTTCGTCGCACATTTTAAGATCTGCCATCCTAGATGAATACTTGCGCACCCGGGTGCATAGTGCCCCGAAGTTGCTTTAATTCCGAACTCGCGTGGCGCGATAGTGCAGCAGGGAAGAGTAGTAGTCCCTATGAAGCTTCAAGCCCAGAGAGAAGCTAATTAAACGCGCGATGCTCGCGCGGTCTATTCCGGTATACGCAGCAGCTATTTTCGAACGTTTATCGACTTCTGCACCGGCGTTACTGCCGTTCCTGCGCCGTGGTAGCGCAGCGCTGGAGCTTCGCGGATAGCTATGGCCCTGGAAAGCGATATGAACTCATAATTTTTCAAACACGCAAGCCAAGGCATTAACGTATATCTCACGGATATACGTTACCACGGATTACGGACGGTATCAGAATTTGAATCAAATGTAAAAAGCAATAACGTAGTGCATTTACCTTTATTTGCAATAATATTTAAAGTGGCACATTCTAAGACATTCTTATAATTTAGAAGAAAACAAATATGTATGCAATTGAAAATGTTATCTTCGAAAATTTTATCTTTATTATCTGTATTCGTTTACTTTATTGGAAAACATCGAGGTGTCATCGCTATTTGCATAGAGCTCGCTGCTAAAATGCGTTCGGATGTATGTACAAGGCGACCAGATTTTTGTAATCACGATCACATAATCAGTTAATCTCTCTTGCTTTGAGAAAGACATGATAAACAGAATATAAACCAGTGCCTATTTCTATGAATATAAATTGACTTTAATTCTGCTTAATTAATTCAATTTATTCTTTATCTTTTTTTAATACATAAGGTCAAAGAGAGGACAAGAAGATAAATAGTAAGTTAAACTAAAATTAATTGTTTTTCTTTGGGCAATATATTTTCACAAAGCTTTATAGACTCCTCTTTGAAATCATATTTTACTATCATTTCAAAGTTAAATTGATTTTGCATCAAGGTACAGGCACAAATAGGAAAAGTTTATTGTAATATATTATAAGGTTAATATATTGTTCAAAAAGTAGGACATCTGGTCACCTTATAAATATATAACATACGAGAGGATCTAGAACGATGGGCACGATCAGCACAGCGAGCACAAACGTGAAACACATGCCTATGCCGCGTTAAAGGCACGCAAATTAAGGAGAGCACAGGCGATCACGTGCACATTGCTACTTAAGCATATGTAGCGTGTGTTTGGAAACGTGAAATTGTGTCGCATTATTTTAGCAAATATGATGCCACATAATGCAATATTCCTTTATCGCTCTATTTTTTTTTCTGTTCGGTCAATGAATTTCATTATGACATTATAGTAAATAATGAAATTTTACCATGACTCCGTTAGAAGAATATCAGTGTAAAGAGAGATAAAGTGCGAAGTAAGATCAATCATTTGATTTAAACGGGATTATCAATCACGAGAACGTCTGAGAATCCAGAATAAAAGACGCCATATTGCGATAGAGGAATATAATCGAGCTTGGAGAAAGATGGCACAGTACCTTCCGATCCTAAAGAGCATAGCATAAAATTATGAATTATCCATCAGACTCGAGACATCACATGTTTGCCCATATTTCACTTTAATATATTCAGGATTACATAAACGTATTATTCCGCACTTGAGAGAGAGAACGTCAGTTGTGTTTTCTAATTCTTTATATTCTTTTAATAATAATAATATCAAGTAATTACTTATTATATTAAATAACATTTAATTCGCGATTGTCCTTCGAACACGAAGCTCGATATATCTTTCTTTAGAATTTCTTGAAGAGTAAGGTTTTATTTACATGGCTCGACAACGGTGAAACTTATAGTCTTTGAAACTAGAAACGGCCGTTCATTTTCGGCGATCCATGGCCGATACTTCGCGAGGAACGTGTTAATTGTTTTTCTTTTCGCACTAGCCGACTATTTTCGGCGTGATTATCAGCCGCGTGCACGCAAACTCGTGTCGGTATATCTGCATTTGCCTACATTTTTCTCAATCGTTGCGCACGTACGTTGTACATCAGCATCTACATACGTGTACGTATACTGTACTATATAAGGTGTCCGAGAATCATCGGACGAGCTGTCGACCAGTGATACAAACAGGGTCGAAAGTGTAAGCATAACAAGGCCGATAGGAAGCGCGCCTGATTTTCCTGAACAATATATAACGCTTTATTCGAAGCGATCTCGGTACGAATGCCGTGTTAAGCACATATCGATCAGTTTTGCGAATCAGTGCTACAGCCGCGTTACGCTGACAATTTGCGTGGCGTAGCTTGTTTATGATTAGCCTTCATTCGTGTGCATATACATTCTTCGGAATCTATAGCACGGGATTCCATTCCGATCGATTGTATTTCCATATTTTCGGTTAGGTTCTAGTACTTATTTATATAATACAAAAAAAAAAAAAATACACACTGGGAGCTCTTCCGGTAATTCCGCGACCCTCTGAATATTATATATACTATGAATATATGAATATATATATAGAATGAATTTATTAAGAACCATCATCTAAAATAGCTTCCTATTATATTTCACAAATTGCAATTCTTTCTTGAAACAGATGTGTGTTTTCTTGACTAACATTTAAAATTATTCAAAATTGTGCATTGCATTTATTTTTATCCCCGACGAAATTGCCTTGATATTTTTAATTAATACAAGGATCATCAAATTTGCTTCAATTATTTTTTTTAATTATTTCTTTTTAAGTCAGTGCATAAAAAGTTATTTTAGACGATTCTAATGATTCGTTTTGTATATATACGTTTTTTATATATATATATATACGTCTATATATATATATGTGTGTGTGTGTGTGTGTGTGTGTGTGTGTGTGTGTGTGTGTGTGTGTGTGTGTGTGTGTGTGT